GGGATGCTGGCAGTTTGGGACTAAGATTGTCTCACCAGCAGTAGTCCAGCCATCATTCTTTGTAACATAACTGTTCCTCTGAAGAGTTAGCAAAGTAGTTTCCTTGAAAAATAATAAAATTCAGGAAAAAAATAATTCCCGTAGATGGTGGGTGACAGCACCTTCTAAATGAGTCATAGGCAGCACCCAGAGCTCAGGCCTCCAGACACGTAGCAAAGGAAGAGGACAGGAATACAGTTGGAGTCAGACACAGCTTCAACAGATTTCAAGTACCTTTCAAGAAGCAGCTACATGGTAGATGTTTGGATGGTGTCAGGGGCTACTCCAGCCCTGGTTTTAAGCATTGTTAGTTGTAAGGGAAATGTGCAAGCCTTGAGCTGGCATCTGCCGAGCTGCAAGCTACAGCACTGACTCAGAGCCTGCTGAAAGTATTGGCTGCTTTACCTCTTCCTTCAGGGATGTTCAGTGTTATTGTCTGACACTGTTCACAGCTACATTTCTTCAGATGGTTTGCAACAGGATTTGGAATTTCATAGAGATGATATCTGAGAGTCAAGACATGCATCCTACTGAACGAGGAGGACCAGATCTGGATGAATATTCAGTTGCTGGAATAACTGCTTCAACCATCAAGCTTGGGCTGCTCCTGGAAATGACCAGCATTTGCACATGCCTGTCCTCATATTTTCTGTCAGTTTGCCCTGAACAGACAAGGCTGGATAAACTTTTCCTCCTTGCCCTGTGGCTGAAGAATGGGCCAGGAAGTTTGTACACTCAGCATTGCCCAAGATGAACAATGCTTGGTTGTTCACCTTGGGGAGGTTGCATGGCCTGCCCATAGCCACTTAACTGTGGAACAGCTTAGTTCTCATGCTCAGAACAGCTTTGTGTCACTGCTTTATGCCTGTAAGCCTGAAAACCAATTTGGAGACCTTTTCTCCCTGCACAAAATTATCATTGCATTGAATAATATCAGGTCCTCTCTGTGATCGTCTATCTGCAGTGCTTAGCACATGAGTCAAAAGAGAGGCTGTTAGCTGGAGCATGGACCAGCTGTGATAGGGTAGGTTCCCCTGGATTGTGCACTGTTTGTTGGAAGGCAGTGGAATCTGGGAAATCTGGGCTCCTGGGTGCTGTTCCTGCATCCCAGCAAAGGCAAGCTGTAGCAATGAAATCTATACATGTTTCCAGCACTTCTTGCATCAAGGCAGATGCTGAATCTTATAGCCACCACACTGGAAAAGGGCTTCAAGGGAATTTGTAATATCTGCTTTTTCTCTAAACAGGCCTGGTTGACAGCTGACTGCACCCTGAGGCTGTTAAATTATTTGTCTGCTAAGAAGGGCCATGAAATAAGCAAAAGAAGCAGAGAACGTGGGCTTTGAAAGCACGGTCATCTGACTGATAGCATCCCCATTGCTCACATAGATGTGGTGTATCACTTGGCCTGGCTGTGTCAGAAGTCAGAATGAAATGGTGCAAATAATTTGGCACACATGGGAGCTGTGAAGGGAATTAATGGAGCATCCTCACTTGGGATATTTTGCAGCTAGGTGGGGCAGATTGCTGTGTCTTTGGCAAGGGTGTTCTATGTGACTCAAGAAGTCTTTGCTATCCCTGATTCCCATCTGATGATGGGATGTTGTGTGTAAATTGTCTCAGTAAACTGAGACAGATGCTCTAACACCTGGGACACTAGACCAGGACCTAGGAGAGTAGAGAACCATTCTTGGATGAGCTACAAAGCTTATTCATTCTTGGACATTCTCCAAACTCCCTCAGCTCACCTGTTCCATAAAGATACATCTCTTCCTCAGGGAAAGTGCAAAGCTCTGCATGCTTCTTCAGTATTGTGACTAGTCATAAAGAAGGCCCTACACAGACTGGGGTCCACCTCACCCAACGTAAGATACCTACCATGAGCCAGTTACCATTAAACTTCCTCCATAGCTGAGGAGGAAAGACAAGCATTCCTAATGCATGGACTGACTGGTTTGGTTATGAGGTCCCTTGAGGAGGGTGACTGCTGTAAAGAGAATGCAGATAACTGGGTCAGATGTAGATACCTACAGTGCAAGGGTCTAAATCCATGTCCATGGGCAGAACCAACATCAGCTGAGGGTGGTGCCATGGAGCAATGGAGGGCTACAGATTTCCCTGGCAGCAAGGTTTGCCAGTCACTTCTAGCCACCAGTTTCACTCTGGCATAAGGGGAACAAAACACATGCAGACTTTACCAGGTACACATTTTTCCCTCACAGCAAGAATCTATCTGTGGTGTCCTAAGAAGTGCTGGAATTCAGCAGATCATTGTTCCATGTGAGGCCTTCACTAAACATTTGCTTTGAATGTGAGACATGGTTTGCATAGAGGACAAGGGAAAGTCACAAGCAACGGCATCTCAGGGAGCCTTGTGCTTTGGGGACTTCTCTGGAAGGGATTATTATTCAGGTCCAGCCCATGTCATATTGTAGACATGAGTTGTTGGCAGAGCTCAACAAGTTGCTCACGAGGACAAAAAGGCTGTTCTTCCCTCTCTTCCCCTTTCAACACCAGCTCTCTCAGGGCAGCTAAGGGTCTGTGCTGGTAAGCATGAGATATGCATGGAGCTATTTTGTGACTGCTGGAAGATATGCGTCCTTGTGGCAAGCTGTACTGAGTTTCCAGGAGGAAAGTATGAGTTTTATGTTTTGCCTCATGACACTAGTGTCTATCTTGAAGACAAGTTTGCAAAAACAGAGTTATAGAATATGCTACTAACTCAAAGTACAGGCAGAGTTACCTGAGTGATGGAATGATCTAACTTGTGCAGTCCTGGGCCACACAGAGGTCTGTACCATTGCACAAGGCAGTCTGCAGTGTATGGTGGGCTGTCTTTGCATGCTGTAAATACTGAGAGGTGTGTCAGGGAGTCTCTTCTTCATTAGATGCCTAATCGATGCTCTGTGGTTGAGGCCATGCAGCTAAGCTACTTAGTAGCCCCAATCACTTCCATCTGTCAGTGCATTGTTTCCAAAAAGAAGGTATACTGGAGATTGCAGGTCCTTGGAGCAGTGGGTTCATACAGAGACGGCACTAATCTCTCCTTACCATATTATCTACATGCCCCTTGGTACAGTAAGCATATCTGCATCCAGTGCCAGGCCTTACAGGGCTAGAAATGTGCTGCCAGGCCCTCAGGAGGGTGATGGAGTTGGAAAGCTCTACTCAATCCACAGTGTTGGACCAGTGGAGGACTGCCCAGTTTCAGAGGTATCAGGAGAGATCCTTAGCAAGTGAAAGAAAGGTACGAGCCTTGGCTGTAGCATAGTAGAGGCAATGGCATTTGGGCCAAAGTTCCTGGTAGCAAGGGCTCAGCCCAAGGGTAGTCATCAGCCATTAGCTGTCCAAGAGTCCTGGAGAAGCGGCTTATTCTAATACTGAAAAATGTACAGTATCTATAGGCTTAAAAACCTTCTGGAGGCCATAATGTCTTGCTGACTTACAGGGACTCATGGTGCCCCTGCAGGTGGCAGTTTCATGCAATATCAGTATCAATGGCAGGTGCTTTTGCCCTGACTCTCAGCTTCATCCTTTCTGCTCTTAGCACACATTGAACATACCTTTTACACTCATGATGTTCCTGGGTCACCAAGGACAGACATGGCACCTAACACTTCTGAGGACCTTACAGCACCTTACCAATTTCTGCTTTAGGCAGAAGTTTAAAGGCTTCTGGAGTAATTATAGGAGCTGGTCTGGCTTCCACACCAAATGTAATGCACACAGTTACAAGTTCACACACCAAAATACAGAACTGTACAGAAATTTAGGACAGAAAGGACCTGTGGAAGTCCAACCTCTGCTCTAACCTCCCATTCAAATTAGTGTCAACTTCAAAATTAGATCAGGTTGCTCAGGACATTCTCCAGGCAAGCTCTGATCATCTGCAGGATGGATATTCCACAGCATCTCTGGGCCCCTGGTTTTGGCCTGCACCACTCTCATGGTGACTTTTTTCCCCTAATAACCAATCAGAATTTCTCTTGCTGCAACTTGTGACCACTGCCTTTTCTTCTGTTCCTGTGCAACCCTCAGGGCAGTCTAGCTCTATCTTCTCTATAACCTCTAGACATACAGTTCCCCTTCATGTCATCAAGATGCTTGATTTCTTTCAGATATCTCTCAGCCATTTTGAGTGTTCATTTTTGTTCCTTGCCCTTGTGCCTGAACAAATCTAAAAAGCAACCAAAAACCTAGACACACATCCCAAATCTTAGAGTATACATGGATACTTGGATGTGGCCAAAATACATGTTATAATGTCAAAATCATTACCTTCTGCATGGTTTCTCTGTGGCCAGCACCACTGTGCAGAACTCAGTTTGCTTTCATGTTTCAGTTGTGTCTGGGAAGCAGGTGCCAGTGGCAATGAATCCATAGAAGATGATACCATGGAGGCTATGTAACAATAAAGCACAAAAGACCTTTATGGACAAAATATTTATCACATTCATAATTTCTTTCAAAAACCTCTGAACCCACCTTACTCCACTTGCTTGACTTATAACAGATCCTTCACCCTCGCAGAATACAGGGTGGCAATATCCAGCTGCAGGAGGTTGTGCTGGACATTCAAATCCAGCCTCCCTCCCAGCCAGCACCCTTTGCCCACACATGGGCACTCTGCACTCTTTGAGCTGAAGCCTGGGGCTGCTATTACAGGTGCCAGGCAGGGATCAGTCTGTCATAGGCACTAGGGTACTGCCTGCACCAGAACCAGCCCTGCCCTGCTCATCTGTCTGCAAAAGTGAGCTCTGGGTCAGTGCCGGCTATTGCAGCTTGTCCCTGGCAGTCCTTCTTGGCTTGGAGCACTCTGCTGCACCAAGGCTGGTCCAGCAGCAGCAGGGATCTGTGCCAGGTCTCTGTGCCACACACAGACACCAGCACATCATTCCTGATAGATGTATTAGTACCTCAGGAAAATCATGCATCTTTTCCTGACACTCTCTCCCTCTCAGTTTTACAGCTACGGCTTCAGCAGAGAAGGACCCGTGAGCAGCTGGCAGACCAAGGCATCATGCCACGTGAGTATCTTTTTCTGCCTTTTTCACCCACTCCCAGCTCACAGGGGCTGTGTTCATCTTTGGCACTGCTGGGACACTGTGTGGCACCAGCTGCCTGCTCAGACCCACTCAGCTCTGAGCAGATTGCTACCAGGGGGGACTTTGCTTCCTGCCCTGTAGAAATATTATGGTCCCTGGTGCCATAAAATGGTGCCCAGCATTTGCCACACAGATTATAATGCCACTGCTCAAACTGAAGTCAGGAGAGATGCTTAGCTTATACTATCCAAAAATTCAGCTGCATATCTCCCTGTCCCAGAAGTCAATCTCCCTGTCGCAGAAGTCACTGTAGCAGGACAAGCACATCCAACTCCAAGCAGAAGACTTGCAAAGCTCTTCATGTAGGCAAGGGCAGACAATCTCACCTCCTCCTGTAAAAGTCAGCAGGATCAGACAGGATGTGGTAGTGGCAGGATCAGACCCACAGAATGAGGAAGAGGCAGGGAGGGCCCATTCCAGGAGGCTGTGGAAGAAGGAAAAGGCAGGTAACTGCCTTGGCCCCAGTGAGGAGAGGCAGCCCCTGGATGAGTGAGACATACCCAGATCTGTGCCTGTGCCCAGCCAGGAAGCCACAGGGCAGAACTGTCAGTGTACACTTCAGGCCAATGAAACCCCACCTGGGCCTGCCTGCTGCAGACTGCTGAATGGCTGGTGATATCTGTGCTTTCCCTTCTTTGACCACATTCATCCTTGCTAACCTGGCATTCAAGCCTGAAGAACAAGCTCCAGGCCAGTATTACCATGTAAACATTCAGCATCAGAAAGTCAGATGCTAGATCCCAAAAAGTAAGTGAGCAAAAATGATCCCCTTCTGCACCTGTAGGTGTATCATGAAACCTGTAGCACCACTGGAGAAATGATGTTGGAAGCTCAGCCCTGCTCAATGGATAACTCCATCCTGATGTAGCCCCAAGGTCCATGTGCATGACTGTGATTATCTGGGACCGAGGTAGAGGATTATCCTTTCTGTCTTATCAAGGCCCCCTTGGGTTCACTGCTAAGGTAGCAACTTTCCAAAGGCTGTGTCACTTTTGTCTCTTCTGGCTAACCTTGAAGACTGTGATGCAGCTATAGCCTAAACAGCAGAACAACAACTCACTAAGAGCATGGCTCTAGCACTGCCTGCTGCACCCTGTCTGTCCCTCTGCCCTTCTCAAGCAGCTGTCTTCCTGAAGGACCATGTCAAGGTAGCCAGCAACAGACACCTTCTCAATACAATATTGCCAACATCAAGCATTAAGAAAACCAGAGCAGGATGACAAAAATCATGACTGTCAAAATGACCACATGGTATTAAGACTGATAAGTGCAGGTTCCTTTCATTTTTCTTCTGTTTTTTTCTTTAAGTGTTCAGATTTTATGCTGCCTGCAGCCAAAGGGCAAGCATTTTAATCAGAGAACTCCAGGAGCTGGAGCTTTAAGCAGAATATTGTGACATTTGTGATATCATTGCAAGCACTGGCAATACAGTCAGTGGCCAGAAATATGTCTAATGTCTCCTGAACTGCTAAGTCATAGAATCATAGAATGAATCATAGAATGCTTTGGGTTGGAAGGGACCTTTAGAGATCATCTAGCCCAACCCCCCTGCAGTGAGTGGGGACATCTTTAACAAGATCAGGTTGCTCAGAGCCCCATCCAACCTGACCTTGAATGTTTCTAGGGGTGGGGTCTCCACTACCTCTCTGGGCATCCTGTTCCAGTGTTTCACCACCCCCATTGTAGGTTCCCCCTGCTGTGATGGGCTGCAGAAATAGCTGCGCTTGAAGTAAAGACCCTCTTGCTGTACGCAGCCACCACCTCATAATCTAATTCAAATCTTAAAGGGAATAGTCCTAAGATTATCAGTACCAAGCACAGCAGGTCTGCCCTGTTGCCTCCAGACCCTCAGCCCTTTCAAGCTGACGTGTCATCCCCTGACAAGTTGTCAAATAACCAGTACTAGAGATGTCTTTATTTATTTTGCAGACTAATACAAGCTGCAGCATCCACATAATTCCTCCAAAAATCTTGGTAAATGACTAAATTCTGCATCATTTTCCTCTTTAATAGCATGGCATTTGGTCAATGCCCAGAGCACACTCCCAATTTCAGTATTTCACAGTGAGCAGGGCTGTAGAAGTCATCTCTCTTGCTAACTTCATTTTCTCATGTGCACCATTTTATTTTGCTTCTGATTAAACCATCTGGCACAAGTTCTCATGGCTGCTCACCAGAGCATGGCACAGTAACACTAGCTTGTCTGTATGTCTGCTTTCCAAATGTTAGGAGCAGGACTGTGCCTTCTGTGTTTTACTGTGCTTACCTAGCGGGTC